GATGGATGGTTACCTTTAGATTAAACTCTTTATTCACCATGACAGACTGAAGCAACAGCCTCATTACTGTGGATCAGTGACCCCCCGTGACCCGAAAAGGAAGAAGCAGGTAAAATATAATGGGTGGATGGATGCCTTTCGACTAAACTCTTTCTTCTCCACGACTGACCAAAGCAACAGCCTCATTACTGTGGATGAGACCTGAATCCATCGATCCAGCTCCCCCTTCATCCATCACTCAGCAACAAGACGCCCAGATACTTGAAGCCCTCCACCCGAGGCAAAGACTCCTCGCCTGACCTGGAGGAGGAACTCGGACTGATGAGTCCATTATTTTTTTTAGTTTAAACATTTTTTGTGCCTCCAGTCCCAAAAGCAATTCAACAAAATCAATATAAATACAGTTTTTTTTTTCTCAACCGGAATCGGAATCTAAGTAAATTTGGTATAAAAGTGCTTTCAGGACATGGACAGTTGTAGCTTTAGGTGTGCGCTCAGTGGCAGCGGTTAGGTAATCCAGCCGTGCTGAGAGTTTTATCGGAGGTGACGCCTCACTCGGCCTATAAATAGACGAGCACGTCTCTCCTGGGAGCCCAGCTGCAGCTCTCACTTTCTCTCTCGGGCATCTGATCACTTGTAGGAAGTCGACCCCCCCCCAATATTAAAAAACACAACAAAACACACAGAGAGGCAGATACTGCCACAGAGCACTCCCCCCTCATCTCTTTAAATCACTCTGAGAGTAAAGTCTTTTTTCACTTTTTATTAAATAATGAGTAAACAAGCCTCAAAGCATATGGCAGTATGAAACTTCTTTATTATTTAAAAGAACGAAAGAAAGAAACAAACAAAAAAAGAGCTCCAGAACTCGTCAGGCCTTGTTTGACCCCTCAGAAGCACAAACAACTCGTTCTTAGCGTGTTTTTCTGGACACGTTTCTTTTAAACCTTTTTTTTTTTTTTATTATTAAGATTTTAATAAATAAGTTGAAACAACACAGCAATTTTTTTTATTTGAATTCTTTAATTTGTCATCTAAATAAATACAGCAACAGTCGGACTAGCCATTAGCTCGTCAATCTGATCAAACTCTTTTTCTCTAAACGGAGACGCTCAAAAGATCTTATCTACAACAGGTAAGATACTAGCTGTTCATAACTTTCCCAAAGAACAACCTTGAAAGGAACCGAACTATCCCTTTAATGGACATTTGATGTGAGTTGTCAAAATTTATCAGCTAACAAAGTTGATCTTTCAATATTCAACTAAAAGTTATTTAATTTTATTGAAATTAAAAAGAGCTGATCAGATTCATCGATCTCCAAACAAGCAGGGATCAGAAACATTCTGAATGATTCATGTCTGACAGAACCCACCTGCTGACAGAACCCACCTGTTGACAGAACCCACCTGTTGACAGAACCCACCTGTTGACAGAACCCACCTGTTGACAGAACCCACCTGTTGACAGAACTCACCTGTGCGCACCTGGTGCCAAACCCGGTTCCTTCAGAGCCGCAGCTCTGCTCTGCGCCTCTGTAAGAACCGGGTTATTCACAGACCCGACAGCCCAGAGACCTAAACTGTGAGAAACTTATGCTGGATGAATAATTTATGTTTTTTTATTTAGATTTTTCTTTTTGGCAAATTTGCGCAAAAGTGCGTCACAATCAACAGCTCTTATTTTGAACATTTAGGAGAAAATATGACTTTTTTTAAAATTTAAATATTATTCCGTGTCATTTGTTGTGTGTATGTGGGTCATCCTCCCCTCCTCCTCCCACCTCCAAATCATGAGTGGGCCGCGCGCTGAAGGACTTGCCACGCGCGCACCGCTCCACTTCTCCAAAGCTCCTCTGGTGCGCCTGTTGGACTAAAAAACTTTTTTTTATTATTTTGTATTTTGATGTTTCGGTTTGTGAGATTTTTCCTTGGGGGAGGGGGTAGAGATGGTGCTTAGCTCGCTGCAGAGGGCGGCAGGAGCTCGGAGTGGACCGTGACGCGCGCCGCGGATCCACCCGCTTCTGTCCGGAGAAGACGCAGGTGAGGGCGGACCATGGAGGACCCCGGCGCAGGTTAGACCCCTGGGGGAGAGGGGGGGCGAGGGAGACATGGACTTTGCTGAAACCGTGGTGGCCCTGTTGATCGCGGCGGTGGCCGTGGTCTCCCTGCTGTCCAACGTGCTCGTGCTGCTCTGCTTCGTCCACAGCAGCGAGATCCGCCGGCAGGTGCCGGGGGTCTTCACCATGAACCTGTCCCTCTGCAACATCCTCATCGCCCTCCTCAACATGCCCGCCACCCTGGCGGGGCTCGTGCGGGGCCGGCAGCCGTTCGGGGACTGCGCGTGCCGCGCGGTCAGCTTCCTGGAGACCTTCCTGACCGCCAACACCATGCTGAGCATGGCCGCACTCAGCATCGACCGCTGGGTCGCGGTGGTCTTCCCGCTCAGCTACGCCTCCAAGATGCGCTACAAGGACGCGCTGGTCATGGTGGGCTACTCGTGGCTGCACTCGTTCACCTTCTCCCTGACGGCGCTGCTCCTCTCCTGGCTCGGCTACAGCCACGCGTACGCGTCGTGCACGCTGCAGCCGCCGCGGCGCGGCGAGGCGGGCGCAGAGCGGCTGCGCTTCTCCGTCTTCACGGTGGTGTTCCACGCCACCAGCTTCGCGCTCTCCCTGCTCATCCTCTGCTTCACCTACCTGAAGGTGCTGAAGGTGGCCCGCTTCCACTGCAAGAGGATCGACATCATCACCATGCAGACGCTGTTCCTGCTGGTGGACATCCACCCCAGGTAAGCCCCCCTCACTTTGAGCCCAACATGTGAAGGACCTGGTCTTCAGCAGGTCACATTTTTATCATTTATTCCACAAAAAGAGCAATTAAATGGAAAAGCTGAGGAGTTAAGAGGTTCAGCTTCAGCTGCTGATCAGATGTATTGATGAACTAACTGATCATCTTCAGCGTGATCACTTCTAGAATTTGCTGCTCTGGAGCAGACAGGTGCGTTAACACAATGCCAAGGTAGAAAGGCATCAGCAATGACCTTAGTGTCACACCACAGAGGTGGACAGATGACTGCAGTCAATAGTTTTTCTGTGCGAGTAGATGAGCAGCAGTACTAACTGTGAGTAGAAGAGTGCTGTTTGTGCTGTTCACTCTTTTCAACAGGAACAAACCAACACCACCCTTGGTCCAAATGAACCGTCACATATTCACTGTTTTGGGTGTAACTGTTTTCACACTCGCGACTGAACTGTTTGCATCTGGTTGAAAGCCAAACATCACAGCACCAGTGAGTGACCTGGTCAGTGTTGCCAGATAAACAGTGTCTGGTAACAAAACAACAATTACCATTTAGAAAGTTTTAAGGTCAAACCTCCCTCTTTTTTTGTGCACATGTTCACCAATCACAACACACGTCATCTTACCCCGACATTACTATAAGTTCATCATTTTCTATCTGGCAACCCAGCCTGGCAGGGAAACAGCAGATGGCAGCAGTATTGATGAAAACAGGGTTTTCATGATGTTGATGTTTGCAGACTCCTCAGTCCTGCCACGCCCACTCACACCTGTACCCCGTCTCATTTCGCCCAGCTGTTCCTCATCCTCTCATCAGCCTCGGCCCAGATAACATCTCAGGGTTAGCATCACGCGTTTCATATTTCGTTCGGTCCTCCTCGTGTTTCCATCTTATGTTTCTTGTGCCCCTCGATTTTTTTTTTTTTTTGTGAGTTTTGCTGCCAAACGGCATCTTGTTTAGTAAAAAGTACCGGTTTTATTTTTGAGCTCCTTGTGTCCGGTGGGCATTCTGGGTCTAAACCTCCTGAAACAGTGACACCTGGCTGCCCGTCGATCTGGGAAGGTTCAAAAAGTCCCACTGAGATAGAACTGAACCCAAGTCTAGACTAGAGGCTGTCAGGATGAAGTAGCACCAAAAAAAACAAAAAACAAAAAAAAATACTCAGGACGAGGAGCAGAGCATGAGGATCTGACAAAGCTAAGTGAAACCAAAGAGCTTTGATAGACGAGATCCAGTGATTAGTGAATAAAGACAGCTGAGATTAACCAATGGAGCAAAGCCACATGAAATTGTCTTTCAGTTCGCAAAAAAAGAAGAAAACCACAACAAAACCTCTAAAAGTGACATAAAAGTAATTTCCAAACAATCAGGAGTCCATCGATCTACAGCGAGAAAGATTATTCACAACATGTTGAGCAGAAGTGGACGTCCCAGATTCATCCCAAGGTCAGACTGTGCAATACTCAGTTCTCTGAGGTCCGGCTGCTCTCAGGCTTCTTCCTGTTAACAACGTTTTATTTAACACAAAGTTTGTTTTCTCAGTCATCCAGGTATATAACGACAAAAAAGGTTGAATCATGTCATCTGGACTTCGTTTTTTTGTTAAAAAGAAACGTTTCGCCCCTCATCCAAGAGGCTTCGTCAGTCTGAGGCCTAGCCATCTGGTATTACCCAGAAGCCACCCTGACTCTTGTGTTTCAAGCCTGCCTCAGATACTGCCTCTTGGATGAGGGGCGAAACGTTTCTTTTTAACAAAAAAACGAAGTCCAGATGACATGAT